GTGATGACCAAACCAGTCCTGAAAAAAGGTAGCTGTCACCCAAGCTTTACGATTCGACTTTCAAATCACAAAGCAGTTTTCGATTTATTTTTCAATGCTCTTGAATTTTCCGAGCGATAAACTAAGAGAGGTTTTAACGCGCGATAAAAATTCTTTTAGGCATCTTCTTCCAGAACAGGCCAGTCTCATCTACGTTGAATATAATTTGGCTGGAATAGCCACCTTCATCTATCATAGCTTTGAATTTTTCTGGATAGTAAGACACAGCCTCTTTATCAGCACTTGCCTCCTCTCCACTTTCTGCAACGCTATGCCAATTACAGCGACTTTTGCATCATCGGCTGAACCAACAGTTACTAGCTTTAAACTCTTCATCTTTAGCCACCTCTTCAGCATCCTCTTTCAATCTCTCAAAAACCAGCTTAGCTTGATATCACTCGGTGTTGTGATCAACAGGACAATTTTTCACATTGTTTCCATTTCAGAGATAATACCGTGGCGTTTACGAATGATGCTTAATTTATAGATTGAGCATTTTTCACAGCTTCGAGAATTTTTTCTTTACCTTTTATAATTATTCTGACCGTCGATTTCGGTAGATCAAACTCCTTTGCTAATTCACAAATTTTCATTTTTGTATCGAAGTCTTTAATAATGTTAACTTTACATTCCAAAAATAAAGTTTTTCTTTTCTTGTTTGATGCAGAAGAATTAGTTCTACTTCGTTTGGATGACATAGTAGAGTCTCTCGAGTCTCCGTAGATATAACAAACATAGAAATAAATAACACAAAATAAATTGTAGCTAAGCGTCGATTTCGCGCGACACGTCCGAACACATAAGCTGAACAATAGTGTGGGGGTAGTGAATAATCAAGAGTTGCGTGGGGCTCAAACAAAAGACAAATCGACGAGATTTGAAAATCGCGTAACTCCGGGTTCGCGTAAGTCGAGGTATTACTGTATATACAAGGAAAAGTCTAGCGCCTGATTTTATAAAAAAGAACAAACTTGTATATTAGTGATGTGATTGTTGTACTTTTTAAAAACTTCTTCGTTATTAAACTATTATTACGTTTAAAAAAATAAGGGCCCTTGAAGTATTCTCAACGAAGTTATAAAGCCTACATCATATAGAACATGCGAAACTATGAGATAAAAGTTTACAATAACTTCCGTTTCGTCTTTAACCTTTCTAACGTAAATACGATGCCCACACATTTGCAAGAAAGGTCGATCGACTGTCAAAATGATATTAAACACAATATTTTAAATACACATAAGAATGTTGAAATATTCTCGGTAAACATCCGGCAGGGGTTCCTTATATTTTCCGGAAACTTTTACAATTTTGATGGACCCATTTGTTACAATGTTAAAAATCTTTTCATAATTCTAATTATTATAAAGTGGCAAAAAGCTTAATTTTGAGAATAAGGACGGGTTTTGTAAATAATTCTAAATGCTAATAAGGAGGAAAATCGTCACTAAGTTCGACCGTACAAGAGATATGACGCACGACCCCGTTTATCTCTTTACTCTGTAGTTTTTTAATCATCAAAATTTAATAGCATCTATGCCTCTAAGAAGCAAACATCTCTGCAAAATTTCAGAAATGTTCTTTAAAAGGCCAAGACTTATAAATCTTCAAATAGGGTGAACAAAATCGTGCCCCACACACACACACACATATATTTAACATCCATATACCGTATACACTGAAAAAACACCCAATTTTTTTGTGTTTCTTGATGTATCAATGTGTCCCAAGTACAAAAATGTAACGAACTTGGACAGTGATTTTTTGACCTATCGCTAACTTTCCCTTTGTTATAATACTTATAAATACTTATAAACGGAACGTTAAAAACGGAACGATGATTCTCAAACGCTATCAGAAACAATGAATTAGTTAGATAACAGCAATTATGTGAAATTATTAGCTGTTACCCCCGACTTCGTCCGCGCAGATTTTGCAAGCAAACACCATTTATATTCGGTATTTCAACAACCATAGTTATTAATTGTTAAATAACACCTACCGGTAAGAATTGAATAAACTGTTTTTATTTTGATGATATGAAACAGTGCTTTACAATTTGTTTATGCTTCTAACACAATAAAGTGCTATAAATTAAGACACTTGGCTGAAATGAAATTAATAAAGATGAGAAAACCCGCCAAGTGTCTTAATTTATAGCACTTTATTGTGTTAGAAGCATAAATAAAACTGTTTTTAATTTGATCAATTTCCTGGAACGTTTACAATCGTTCTATAATCGAACCAATATGCAATAACAAATTCGAATTTAAAACGGCTCAAACGAAAAATCGCAACTAAAATACTACAGTAGAAGCCATTTTGATTAACCTTAATCCTCACCCTCTCTCCCGCCAGAGGAATTTCGAAAAATCCCTAATTAGTGTGCGTTTTCATGACGTACTTTAACTGTGTAACAAATTTCAGCTCTTTAAATTCAGCGGTTTGCTCTGGGCGATGATAAATCAATCACTCAGTCAATCAGGACATGTAATTGTATATATTTAGATTACATTTGTGATAACAAAATTACTCTCAAACAAGGAAAATATTCATTTATATTTTTACGTAACCAAAGGGAAATTTTCCACTCTTATATTTAAGAGTTAAGTTTATATAACTGACATGAAATATAACATTAATCACATAAACTCAAATTTAAAACATAAAGCTGCAAACTTTTCCTTTTGGTTATGTAAAAATATAAATGAGTATTTTCTTTGTTCGAGAATTAGTCAAATAGCAATTTGGAAGAGATCCAATAAGAGAAGACGCTCAAATAATAATACAGTGGTGCCTCGTACAACGTACTTAATCCGTTCCAGGTGCATGTCCGTTAAGTGAAACGTCCGTTATACGAAACGCATTTGCCCAAAAAAATACATATTAAAACATACAATTCGTTCCGCAGCATAAAATAACCGTACTGTACCATAAAAAAATGAAAATGAAGCAGTGACCAATCATGCCAGGTAGTCAGATAATATGAGGAGGATGTGGAGAAACACTTTAATAACACATTCATACAGACACACACTTTTACATATTGCAGCAGATCTCTTTTTATTGTTTTTTAATCGGAGTCATAGTCAGAAGAGGCTACTGGGGCTTACAGGATCAACTCCTTTTGTTCCATCCTTTGTTCCATCTTTTGTTCCATCCTTTGGCAGCAGGCTTCTTGAAAAACATATCCAAGGTGGTCTGTTTCTCTCTCTTCTTCAACACCTGTCGGAAATGACGGGCAAGGGTATCATTGTAGAGATCGTTGATACTGTTGGCCTCAGCTATGTTTGGATAGTGAGTGTTAGTAAACTCCTGAACCTCTCCCCATTTGACAAGGAAGTTTCTGTCAACTTTCATTCCTTCTGATGATTTCTTTGCCTTGTTTCAATTGAAATCATTTTTCTGTTTTTTTTTTAGAAACCATGATTTGCACAACACTTGAATAAATGTAAATACCCTGCACTGAGGTGATGTACGTAATAAACAAGGGAGCAAGCCGAATCTCAACGGGAGCTCTGTACTTCAGATATACTGATAATATATTCTAATAATACTAATACATTATAAAAATAGCAGATTGTCATTGGCAACGGCAAAAGAGTGGAAACATCATTCGCACTTGTTCGAAGAAAGTCCATTGTTCGTCTCACTTAACTGCCGAACAAAAAGTCCGTTGTTCGCAGCAAGTCCGTTGCACGAGTCACGTAACGGTCAAATAGAAAGTCCGTTATTCGCAGCGTCCGTTATTCGAGGCGTACGTTATACGAGGAACCACTGTATTTGAAAAGTGATCCGTGTTGAATAGGTTGTGATGGCCCAGCACGTGATGAAAGTTGCTAACCTTAACGGCCGAAAGACTTGATAAACCCGTAAAAATGCAAGAATAATTGCTTTTATGTTTAAAAAAGCTAGTGAAAACAGGTAGAAAAAGTAAAGCTCGACAGAAACATCTAAGTATAAAAAAGTTTTATAAATTGTGGCATAAGAATAGTGGATGCAGATTTGACAGTAAGACTCAACTAAAGTGCATATTATGCAAAATATAAACTACAGGAATGTTTGAACGAAGAAAACTCACTATAATAATAATTATGAAAGTCATTCAGTTTCACATTGCGCGAAAACATCGTTGCACACACATTAATTTGGCTATTAGAACATCGTTAAGCAATATCAATGACGGAAGTGTGGGGCAATAGGTTTATCAGTTAATAAAAAAAAATAAAACAATGGGAAAGGCGGGGTGTCCAGTTTCGTGGAGGTTAAGTATGTTCACGTAAATATCGCTTTTATAGAAAATTTATCAGAATTTGTTTGATTAATTTACTTAGGGTGCTAAGGAAGATGCATCTTGGAAAGACTTATGTAAAGTTTTTCCCTATTTAGGTGGTGTCAAACGCGAAAAAAACCTAGAAAAGTACACTTGGCCAGTCTGTTGGCCATGAGCAAACCCACGACAGACTGTTATACACGTTACGGAAATCCTTTGAGAATTAACCGTGATTTTTTTTTCTATCTATCCACCTTTAAATAAAAATAATTCTTCGTACGTTGGGAAATATTTTAACAAGTTTTGTAAATTACTATGTTCGATCCAGCCAGTTATATCCGATTTTTTTTCGTCTGTTAAGTACATCCTTTGAGGATTTCCGTAACGTGTATAACGTGTATAAATTAAGTAGGTTTGGGCACAACCAACAAGCTGGTCACGCACAGTTNCTCACAACACTGGAAAACAAAAATGCTGTCATTTATTTATTTACTAAATTAGATTACTAAATTAGTATTTACTATTACTATTTACTAAATTAATTTTGCACATTAATAATAAAACGAAAACAAGGTTACAAGGAATAACTAATATTGTGAGAACCTGTAATTTTGACAATCTCAATTCCTGTTCAAAAATCAAGAAAATTATTTTATTTTGTTGATTTTCAATTTACTGTAGAGGTAATTCATGAGATTATTTCACCAGTAAAACTTCCTTCATAGGCAATACATCTTCCAATGTCATAAATCTGTAATAATTTTAAATTTATATTTGAAAACTATCATAATTATAATGAATTAAATTCCATACTTTTATTTTTCCATCTTGGCTTCCCGATGAAAGCATTTCTGAATCACGACTAAAGCAAAGACACAAAACTGCATCATCCATCATCATGAAATTGTCCTATAAACAGAATGAAATGATACTTTCATACATATTTCATTAAGAAATTATTGTAAAATGCTCCTGTTTTACCTGAGCCTGGTATTTTAAATCTTTTCTTATTTTACCAGTTGTAAAATTCCACACTTCTATAAATCCATCAACGGAACCAGTTACGAGATACTGACCGTCGGGAGAGAATCGAGCACATTCTACGTGAGATTTCTGTCCAAATTTAATCTGTTTTGAAAGCTGAGTGGGATATTTCTCATCTTCCTGTTCTCTGATAGCTGCTTTACCACGAAACAAATCAATTGTTGTTCCTAAATACAGAGAAAATACTTATTAATATCAATACAGTTGAACTTCCTGTAATAAACTGCCTCCAGGAAACATAAGAACCTGTTATATAAAAATTCATTAAACAGAAAATGCACTAACAGTGAAAACACAATAATATAAATATAAAATTAAAGTGAAATTTGTATGTTCACACAAATTTGATTTTAATTTTATTTTTTATTCAACCTTTAGAAATAACTCTATTTTTTAACATTAAACAAAACACCATGTTGAAAGGACTGAATTGGATTGGATTAATGAGATAAGATAATGCAACAAATGGCTGATCTACTAAAGAAAACCTGCCTCCTGGTAGGACTTTCTATGGAAAGTGACCATTATTTAGGTGCTAGACATGCAAAGATAAGTCAAATTCTACATGACCAACCTGTCAGTTGGGCACAAACCAGAGAACAACTATCAGTGTTCAGTAATTTTATTCACTCAGCCAATGGTGGCCCTGAATTGAAAAATAATTGAAAGAAAAGCTATCATAAACACAAACCATCGAATTTTTAATTAAATTTTTTTAAACTCTATTTTTTAAAAATAAGATTGCATGATGGACAAATAAAAAGCAACTCCATTAAGCTTAGTTAACGGAGACATTTTACAACGATATTTGTAATACAGGAATTCATACAATGGAAATCTTACTGTAATAATAAATTTGTTAAATAAATTTAATATTTACAATCGATTATCATCTGATAGTTTACCTGGTGGCAGAAGACCTTGATGCTGCTGCCATTTAAGAGCTTGGCCNAATTAAATATTTATAAAGTGAATTAGAAATAATGAATCTCTAAAAAAATGTAGTAATATTAAATTATTACAATAAATTTGTTACTTACAAAAATGGCTCTTTTATTATATGTGTGGAATTAAAACCAAATCAAGACGTGTTTTAATCTCAACACAGAAAAACTTAAAATACATTTGAAGTATTTCTGCATCCCCACACTTCTCCCAACGTCTACCCAACCTGCCAAACAAGTTCTTGCAGTTATTGTTTTTTTTTTTTCTTTTCTGTAATAGCTTTTGTAGCTACTTATTTAAATCTGCTTCTCATCAAGTTGTATTGTGTTTTGGGAAACATGAAAGTTTTCGAAAAAAAAAAAAATTCAAGGAACTATGAACATAGAGAAACGCTATGCTCCTCAGATCGATAGTCACAGTAGTGACTTCGAGCAAATAAAGAAGTACCTGAAACTATACAGATGCAAATTTTCGGGGGTTGATTTCTCCATCCTCCAAACGCCTATTGTAATTTTGAACAACTCGTTCGAAAGAAGATTGTGTTATCGAATGGGGTTCAAAATTTTACATTTTTTTCTTAGTTTGTTATGGCAATGCAACACTTGGACGATGACTCCCGGGAGATCTTTTTTAAAGGAAATTGGCGCCAATTTAGGTTTTCCTTTTGAGCTGGTCACGTGGATTTTTTCGGGTTTTCTCCACGACTGTAACAGGCGTGGAGAAAACCCGGAAATCTCCACGTGACCACCCGTCCGAGCGAAACGCGAACCCTCGACCGAACTCCTATCGTTCAGGGTACGAAGTCCACTTGGCTACTGGTCAGCTGGCATTTTTATTTCTTAGAGAGTTTGATGAAATATAAGCAAGCGAAATGTGTAAAATCGATAATAAACTACATTTTCGTCTTTTTCTTTTATGCGCCACAGAAGACATTGTTAAAAAAAAAAAAACTTCTTAGTCTAGAAAGCTGAAATTTTAAATTTGAGTCTCCCTCGTTATCATTAAGGTATAAGCGAAGCCTCTGTGTCCATAGATGAAACTTCATGAGCTTCCCATATAGCTACTTTACTTTTATTACTTAATTTTATATTTTTGAGGATAGCATTGAATAAAAACGAATGACATTTTTTTTAAATGTCATCTAAAATAAGAAAACCTCAAACTTATGCAAGTTTAAACATTCCGTAACAGTGTATTGAAAGAAAGAAGGTAAAAGTTGCACCAAATACACTTTTAATGATGTAATAGAAGCATCACTCTTTATACAGTTTTTTACAAGTTATACGAAATCTACCAGATGTAGCTGCAGAATGCCGCCATCCTATAAGCCTAGAAGTTTGACAATGGCGTTTGGAACGTCGAGCATGATTCCACTGACGTTCCATACGCCATTGTCAAACTTCTAGGCTTACAGGATGGTGGAAATGAACGTCCGACGCACACGTTTTGCCGTTGAAAACATCGGCTACAACCTCCCTATTGTCATATAGAGCCATACCTGATTGTAAAAAGTTATCATTAAAGATTTTGTAATATAACCTGCTCTCAGATATGATAAGCCCTCGTGTATATACGTGTATAATTAATTAATACAGACTTAAAATAAATCAAATAAATGACTTTACATTAAAAGAAAACGCGAATCACCTGATTATAACAATAGGAGGGAAGTCTATCAATTTTTCTTATCTCGACAGCAATAAAATTTATTCGCAGTGTTTTCTACAAATTGCTAATAATTTTCATGATTATTGTGACCTTAACTTTAATTTCTATACAAAATTTCCTCGATTTGTTTAATTATCTCAGACAAAACATAGTTCTAAACACGCTTTTTATAACAGAAACTCTATTAAATACGAGTTAAAATTCGGCAACTGATATTAGAATTAAATGAATTAGCAAACAATTGATTTTAAATGCTGGTATTTATTTTAACTGCCTTTTTTCGACAATACAAGTAAATATACCGTTTACTGTCATCCCAATTAAATATAGATGTAAAAGATTAAGCAAGGATCAGAATTGCTAAAGGGGTGTAATGCTTTGTCATGTTATATAAATATGATCAAACAGTTTTTACTTAAATAGGAAGTTAGGCCAGTCAAATTTGATTACTACACCTTCCACTACAGTAACATTAAGCATTATTTTTAGTGAACTTAAGGAAATTTAACTTCATTACTACCTAAAACGTATAATAATAACTCTTTTTTAGTTCTGAAAGTATGCCAAAAATGTTATCAGGTTTCCGAATTTTTAACATAAAAAGTAAAAATCAAGTATAAAATATAAACAAATGCTGTTTGTCAGATATTAATCAACATTTCTGTAATAATGCCAAAATTTCAAAACAATAGGTACAAACAGACGTAAATATCTCGTTATTGTATGGAGTTTGAACATGTTTCTTTGCTCATGTTTCCTCTATAATTTGGTTTTTATACATGTCAATAATGACCGTGTTATGTTAATTAGCATGATTAAATCGTTGCAACATAAGTAAGTGTAAATGAAGAAAATGGGATATCCCGGATACCGAGAAACGTCGGACATAAAATATTGTAAAAAATCCAGTAACAAGTTGGAAAAAATTTTAAATTGTTTTTTGGAATCACGTATAGGTATATCTCGAGTTACGTCGTTTGTCAAAAAAATATATGGAAAAATAAAAATCAAGTTTAAGTCATTTTATTCGACTTTACGTCTTTTGATGTTACACACGTGAAGAAAACCAGGAAAACTCACATGGCCAACAGGTCGGTAAGGTAAGAACTCACAACCAACCAGTGTTCAGTGTTTTTTATATATTCCATAAAACAAAAAATAAATAAATTAACAAATCAATAACAAAAATAATATACTAAATAACAATATAAATACTATTAATCAAATAAAAGGAAATAAAATAAATACATAAAAAGGCATCGCAATTTAAGGGCAGATGGGGACTAAGAATTTGTATATTTTAATTTTTCTTTTATGAAGAACTTCCACGCAGAAGCTAATCCATCTGCATTCCTTGCATTAATACAGCTATCCCTTAATTTACTTTTATAGATTTCAATATTTTTATGTTGCAAAGCCAATGATAGGGACTGTAAGTTCTTGAGAATAGTTGCTTCATTCCATTTAACCTCAGAAGCCTCTGCTTGTTCCATACTTGACAAAACCATCTTGCGATAGGTGTTACATGTTTTATTAAGTATTTTTAAAAGACGCTGAATTTGATATTTAATTTGAAGAAATTAATTTTTTTTTTTTAATATATACTTGATTTAGACACCGTTATTTTCTAGGAATTATCATATCCGCAAACTCTAAAACTACTAGCCGATCAACAACTTTATTTTTTAAAAAGTTAACCTAATTATATGTTCAATTATTGCAGTATTGTTTTTTCTTTAAACCACACACATCATGCAAAGTCTTCCCTTTCTTACATTCATTCGTTCTTTCGTGCCACATTCATCAATCCAGTTCATAAATGATGCCAGAAACAACCAATGAAACTAATGACTATGGTTGCAAGACCTGTGAATAATGTGAATGGTTAAAGAAAAGAACACAGCTGCTGCAATAATTAAAAAATTGTTTTTCTGTAATTGCAATTATTCCTAGAAAATAATAAGTGTCTGAACCGGTTACATATTGAATAGAAATTAAAATAGAAAAATAAATTTAAAAATTAAGAAGAAATTAAAATTAAATTTTCTTTAAGAAAGATGAAAATAACTTTATCCAGTTAAACTTTCAAAATATTGTTTTTTTTTTTTTATTTGAAAATAAATCAATAAAATCTTTTATTAGTCATTTTTGTGCTTATTTTAAATAAATTTATCATGAAAGAGCATTCACTGATCAATGCAAACATGAGTAAAAAAAGAATTTAAAAGCATATTTTCAGGATCAAATTATGTGTTAATATAATTAAGCTTTAGCACGGTTTAAAATATAATGTGATCACTATCCGTGAAAAATCTTGAGAGAAAAATACCACCATTAGATATGCGGAGGTTTCACCTTAAACAATGCTGGATAAATGTTTAAATGGACACCCTGTAAAGTCTTAATATTCACAGTGTTATGTTTAACAATAAACTGATTGCAAACTGCTATATTGTCTATAAGTTAAAGTTTTGTTTTAAATTGTTGTTTTAAAAGTAAAATATCATATTTTTTAAAGAAGTACAAAAAGAAACTAAGTTTTTAATAAACTCATCATTTGTTAATGGAAAGTAACCGAGTATGTCAAATAAATTATCAGACTATTGTATTTAAAATATTTAATGATTTAACCATTTTATGTAAATCATATTCACAGATAAAAAAAAAAAATTCATTTGTTTGAAAATTAAATATACTAAGAGTATATTTTAGTTTTAATTGTTTTATACGTATATTTACATATGAAAAAGTGATTATGGTTTCCACAGTTTTAACAAACCGTCCTCGCTGTATGTTGCAATTAAATTCTGATGGGGATGATGACTTATTCCTATTACGTCCTTCTCGTGAACCTGAAATGTAAAATCTTTCATTACTTTTATTCCAGTGTATTTCATTTTTGCATTAATACGCACATACAGAACTAATATATATACAGTATATAATAATGTAACCCATGGCTCCTATCAATCGGAAACTTAAACCATAAACAAAAAATATTGCAATAGTTCCCATTTAGCCTTATTACAGGATGCTGAAGATTTCTTGGATTCAAAAGAAAATAAATAATATAGTAATCAAAATTACTTAACCTCTTCAGAAATTGGAACAGAAAACAATACATGACAAGAAGAAATCATACAATAAATTTCAGAAATGCTTTAATTCAATATAAAGCATTTTCAACCTTCTTCAGGTCATATATTCTAAGATCCTAAAGCATACCTATATTGTGAAGTGTTGCTGGAATTTATTCTATAGTTTCTTCTTGTTATATATAGTAATAGATAATTTCAATTTTCAATTATTATGTGAGACACGCAGGGGGTCAGGGGTTAATCCCTCCTGACCACTTACACTGCACAGGCTGGTAAAACCCGGTCTCTGAGTCGTTGGATGGCTAGGAGGGCTAAAAGTGAGTTGGGAGTGCATCAGTAAGCCAACAGGCATCCTTTCAAAGACAGGAGACAGGTTTAACGAATAAACAAAGCATTTATTGAGGAACTAAATCTATGTTACAGAAGGTGATAATTAATTCTAAGGTTAACTGCAGTTATAATAGACTATGTACACATAACAAACGACTATTCTCGTCTATGTCGCTGCCTAACTTTGGGACGAGAGAGAGAGCAATTTCACAAGTTCTAAAATATCCCCTAAATACCTCTCTAAGTAATGGAGTGTTGGCGCATCGTCGGTATGGAAGAGGTAGTCCTTGGCGTCTTCTCTGACAAGATCAAAGTTCTTTTACATGGAGATCGACTGGCACAAGTACAAAAATAACTTCCGTGTGCGGACGCATGCTGAGCTTCCGGAGGCTTGAGCTTTTATCCATTTGTCGTGGGAAAGGAGTCATGTGATCGTCACATGTTGGCATTAACGGTGCATTCTTGACACCTATGTGTCAACTTTCCCAGCTAATTGTGATAACAAATGGTGACCTCCAATATAATTCTCACTAGGAACAGTTTTTCTATCAGAGATATTTACAATCTTTTTCCCAACAACTGCATTAAATTTGCAGATTTCACAATTATTTTAATATATATATATATATTAAATAATAATTGAAATTATTTATTACTATATATATATTATATTAGATATTAAGCAATAAAAGCAACAAAGCCTTTTTACAGTTTAAAAAATTCAAAGTTCATAATTACAAAATACATTGGCTGTTTTTTTCAACCTCCAATAGTCCATTAAACAAAGACAAGGGTAAATAACAAAATGAATTTATTACCAAAGATTAGATACAAACATGGTTACTTTTCAACATAATTATCAAGAAGATTGAGGCATTTATCTATCTGTGGATGAGCTTTGAAACCCCTTTTCATAGAATGTTGCCACCTGTAACTTGAGATGGGCCTTAACGTTGTTTTGAAAATCGTCATTAGTCTTGAACCTCTGCCCTCCTAGACACACTTTTAGTTCAGGAAAGAGGTGGAAGTTGCTCGGCGCTAAATCGGGACTGTACACTGGGTGTTTAAAAAGTTCCAAGCTAGATTGAAGTCTGAAAGGTGACAGTCTCCACACCTCTTTCTTGAACTGAAAACTTGGCTAGCAGGGCCAAGGTTTGAGACAAATGATAATCTTCAAAAGTATTGATTGATTGATTATAGTAATAAATTTATTTTATTTACAGTTATCTTTGTTTTATGGACCATCAAAGGTTGAAAAAAAATCACTCTCGTAATTCCTTAGTTAACAAAGCAACATTTCATAACACCTTTTCTTATAGGCTACTGCTGAAGCTGGACTTATAATCCCCATAGTCAACTTTTATCAGAAACTGCCACAATAATTTATTTACATAATATTTTGAAAGATTTTAAAGTATTATGTAAATAAATTATTGAATGAATTTTATGAATGTAACCTTATATCATGGCATGATATAAGGTTACATTCAAGTATTAATTACAGTACAAGATTACATTCATAAAATTCATCAGTCACAGCCCATGCACAAAAACAACTAATACACGAATAACCTAAGTACAATATAATAATTTGACTGCACATGTGGAAGATTGGTGGCTGCCAATTACTGTTCTGGTGACTCTAAGTTCTTCAGAAGTAGCCAAATTCTTGTTTTAAATCAAGTTTAACTGATATGAAATATAATTAAGTAGGAATATTCTGATTACATTTTCTTTACATTACCCCTAATGTTAATTTTAAAACTTTCGTAAAAATTGGCAAAAATCATCAACAAAATGGCAACTATGTTAGACTATTCACTATAAGGGCAGAAGTGAATAAGGAACATGTAAGAGCAGAAATCTATAGTCAGACCTCAGAGATGGTATCTAAAGAAAAATAGTTTTTATTTAGTATTTAAATGTAGATGTTTTTATTAAATCATTCAGCTGAGAAACTTAAATACTCTTGGTAAGAAATAATCATATTTTATATAATATAAATTTCAACCAAGTTTTTTAAAAAATATTCAAGACTTTATACATATACTTGACTTTCCTTGAACATTAACCACACACTTTTCTTTTAATAAAATTGATAAATATTTGTTATAAGAATTTTAAAAAAACTGATGTTGTCACATAAATTACATGCATAAAATTTCATCACCAAACACAAATTTAATAAGGTCTAGAATCACTGACACTAAAGCACTAAAGATTAAATATCTTTTTAAAATCTAAACTATTTCAAGGATTTTTATTCTCAATAAAGAAATATCATATTTTTTTATGAATAATTTTGTAAAATCTCACGTATTCTACAAATAAAGTTAGAATATTTGATCAATATGCAAATAAGTAAAACATAATATTCTTACTGTTAATGTTCTTTCCAGTTTTCCAGTTGAAGTAGAGAAACAATACAAAACAAAATCTTCACCAATACAATAAATCCATTCTCCTCTCGGGGAAACGGTACAACAGATAAAGTCTCCTCTCTCTCTTTTACCACTCGAAAAACTACGTACGATCTGAGAAGAAGAAAGAATAGACATTATTTCTCTCAAATTTAGTTTACATTTTAAAAATATTTTATAGAAACAAACCTGTCCTTGCATGTTCATTATAGAAACGGTATTTGATCGATTACAAACAACAAAATGTTCTGCATTTTTTGGCAAAGCGTGAACGCTATTTACGGTAATGTCTATACCGCTTGTTCCTCCAAGAGATTTGAATGTATTAAGACATTCTGTGCTTTTTATATTCCACAATTTGACGGTACCATCTGAACTGGCGCTAAGAATATTATGTCCATCGGCAGTAAAAATTGCTTCGTTAACAAATGATGTATGACCTCTACATTCTTTTAATAATTTACCAGATTTCAAACCATGAATTCTGAAAAAAAAATCAAATGTCTTTTTATAAATAAAATAAAAGATTTTTGTATATAAAATTAATATTTTTCGCATACAAAGTTTATGAAATAAACTCTCTGACTACTTAATTCATTACTCATATCTCATTTTCTGCACAGCTTTCAAATTTATTACAACAAATGATTATTTTGCCTAATTGTTTGACAGTTTTATTACAAAAACTTCCACACAATTAGATAAGATAATTGATAACTTTATAAGCAAGGACTTTATATATAAATAATTGTATCTAATTAAATACCTGTAAGAGAGCTTGTCATGAAAAACTGGTTACCAACTGGTAATTTAATGTTCTTTTTTTATTTTTCACTGTATATCATGGATTAATACATGATAAATTTGCTAAAATGCACTTTGAATTTAAAATCCTTCTCTGGTTCGCAATTTTTCGAGAAATGATACATAAAACCAAACCATCAACACCAGTGATAGTTTTACAATACATTTTTAATTGTATACTCACAAACTGCAATATGTAAATATATATCTGATAGTAATAATTTTAACTCCTGCTTATTGTTTACAATTGTCAGTGTCAATGATTTGGTTTTACATATTATTTCTCAAAAAATTGATAATTGAAAAGAGATATTAAATCTAAAATGCATTTTAATACAAAAATTTATTGTGTTTTAATTTAAGATATACAGTGAAAATTAAAAAACTAAAATTGCATAATTGATATTAGCTGTTATGATAAGACCTCCTTACAGATCAGTACAGATATATATTTATTGTTATCAATTTAGTAAATATTTCCAGCAAATGTAATTAATTTCATAAAATATTTTAAAGTGTAATTTATTAAAATCAATATTTTTTTGAAACAAAATTTAAAAATTAAAACAATCTTTTTATACATATATATCAAAAAGGTATTTTTTCTTTAATAACTTAAGGCTGCTTTTCACTGACATAAATATGTTGAGATAAAAACATTGCATCACATGTTTGATATACTGTTGTATACACACAGAGAGAGAAGTAGCATGCAATGATAAAACTGCAATTTTGTTGGGCTGATGATTCTGATAAAATTTCTTAATGAATCTTTAAACTAAAGAGTTGTATCAATTGATGTATCATTTGCACTTTCAAGCCTTAAATAAATAAACAAAAAAAAAATTATTTCAGAAAAACAAGTGGATGCAATACACATGAATTTTGTGATCAAATGGGTCTTAATAAAGTAGACCCCCCCCTATAACACGGGTTCATATAATACAGATTCTTATAACACGGAGAAAAAATTGTGATAGTATTCGTATAAACACACTAAAAGAGACTCATATAATACAGTAAAACATCATCGCCAACTCGTGTCATGACAGAATTGGTCGAATCTAGACCAATAGCAGATATTCCACAAACCGTTGAGTTTAAACGAGCACTGGACCTGCTAAAAAACATTTATTATTTAACAGCCATAAAAATTATATTTATATTAATGTTGTCTCCAACATTCAGAGAATTTTTCGCAGAAAAATAATTTATCAGGAAACACGCATCCGCTGTTCGATGCGCCACTCCGCGACGAAAACAAGCTTAAGCAATGACGTTGTCGAACGGTGCACACTCTGTAAGTGATCCTACAATTTTTTGTTTATAGCGTAGTTTATATGGATTATTCCCAAAAAATTATACGTGTTTTGGAAATGTTGAGTCAAATTAGTCTAGAATCGATTAATTTTATGAAAGAAAACCTTTCAAATAGCCATAGTCCCTAAACTGCACACGTGCCGGGCTGTGATTGGCTCATGTATCTAAGTGACTCATAGAACACGGAATTCAAATAAAACAGAACATATCTACCGTGTTATAGGGGGTCTACTGTACTATGTTCATTCCATGTATTCCAATGAATGATGTTGAGCATTGTAAAGTGATCTGTATTAATTTCTTTAGATTTTTTCTTTTTTAATCTTTATAACTTATCGTGTAAACTTTTCTTCCTTACTTATGCTTGTGTTGGAAATAAAATTGGCAAGTTTGAATAAATGGTAAAACTTTGTAAAATATTTTTCTCAATTTCTCAATTGAAGTAAAAAAAGAATAAAAACTATTTAAACAAAATTCAGTTCATACTTGCTGTGCATTCTGTTCTCTTTCAACAGTCAATTATTGAAAGCTCCAGATTTTTCTTCACGGCACTGGACCATATGCTAGTTTGTGTGTATAACTTGTCTGTTTTCTTTGTAGGCATGTGGTATGTATAAACATTCTGCAGCTATACTGCCAAATAATCTCTGTGCTTTTGCTTTGCTTTGTCAACTTACTGTTTTACATCACATAAAATGTAGAATATTCATCAAGTTCAACCTCAGACTGCAAGCTTCACTTCTATGACAAACAAGAACCTGTCTGTTTCACTACTCTGGCACATTTATGTCATGTTCATGCCAGTGAGATGAGAATCAGTCATTAATCTCTTCCAATGATTGAAGCAAAAATTACAATTAAATTAAATTATATAACAAAAAATATCTCTATAATTAAAACATTACCTTATTGTCTGATCAAATGAAGCACTTAACAATTGACTGCTATCTTTTGAGAACTGAATACATGTAATTCCCTTAGAATGAGCACGTTCAAATCTCCTGAGACACTGCCCAGTCTGAATTTTCCATACCTTTATTTAAAAATATTTTAACCATTTTTAATTACTTTATATTAGTTAAAAATAGAAAACAATAAACATTACAAATCATACATAAATTTCTCAAAAATTATCTGGGAAGAGAAAATGGTTTGATTTACTTTAACCAAATCTCAAATTTAAACTTTAATAATAATTTATCCTAATTAGTAAGCAAACAAATAAAATTTCTCATCTTTAAGAAATTTTGACTTGAACACCAAGCATTACTCTCAGAACTTCGAGACAGTAGTCAGTCTCTCTCTGGGTGTTAAGTAATACATTTCGAGTGACCATTCCGACTGTGCTTATTTCAAGGCCTTTCAGTGTTTCAGTATCTGTAATGGGTGTTTGATAAACTGGGTCCTTTACATAAACTGACAAAGTTTAAAGTAAAAGTTCAAAGGGTGTTACGTCAGGGAGACAGGAGGAAACCAAATTAGTCCATCTCACTTCTCACCCCATTCACCATTTAGGAAAAACTTCATTCAAAAGTTCTACATAAAACAATAGTGTCCCACATTCTCACAAATGTGGGAAAAAACTTGTTTTTTTGATGATTACTGAAAACCAACTTCTGTAAATATCAACATATTATTGATATATTATTGAACAAAATATTGACAAATTATCCTTCCTTTTTATATTTCACATGACAAATTGAAGCCAAATAAGTCAGTCATGATATTAACATACCTCAGAATGAGTTTGATTTATCTCAATAATGTATTAGAAATGCTTGCATTTTCAGTCTATATTTACTGTTTTTTGATTTTTTTTACACCATTTGGTGTGCAGTACAAATGCCAAATTTTTTTAAAAATACAATAAAAAATAATTTTATCCTACAGTAAACGAATAGAATGCCAAGGTTAAATATAAGATTAAAAACATATAAAACAATAGGAGAGATACAGTCAATAGCAGAGTTTTGAAATTCTACGTTATATAATTTAGAAATCTTAATATGTTGAGACAGTTCTCTTTTTATAAATTTCAACTTCTCGATTAAAAATAATGATGTAATTAAAAAGCTAAACAGCATAAAATTGACAAATAAAATCACTAGTTACAAAATAGTGTGTCTCAAAATAGATAGTTAATATGTATCATCAGTAGCATAGTTAACAGTAAAATAAAATAAAAAAATGTGCCTTAAGCAAAATAGTTAATAGACTGGATAAAAAAACAATTATTTTAAAATAAAGAATATCTTTTTTAAACAAAGTGATGACATAAATACCAGTAGAGTAACTGACCGAAAATCGGAGGAGCTAATGGCAGAGATATACGAAAAATTATCAACTTTAAAGTACAATAAGTAGAGGTGAGACAATATTGAATTCCTCTGATACAATCCAATACAGATCATTTTCTAACCAATCCAATTATCGCTTCTATTCATACTGTACAACTGTTGATAATAAATGTAAGCCTGAAAGTTCATTGAAAGCCAAGTTTAGAAAATATTCACTTTGCTCAGTAACCATTTAAATTCAAACATAAAGAAAAAGATTACAAATTGATTTACGATGAAACTGATGCTGTTGTTTCTATTTCAATTTTTTTCATAATAAAAAAAATTGTTGTGAGAATNAATAGATTAAGTATCAGTAAGATGCCAAAAAAATAAACATAATTTTATTACTATTATTTTACTACTAAACATTACTGAATATTTAAATCATTAAGTCATAAATCTGTAATAATTTTAAATTTATATTTGAAAACTATCATAATTATAATGAATTAAATTCCATACTTTTATTTTTCCATCTTGGCTTCCCGATGAAAGCATTTCTGAATCACGACTAAAGCAAAGACACAAAACTGCATCGTCCATCATCATGAAATTGTCCTATAAACAGAATGAAATGATACTTTCATACATATTTCATTAAGAAATTATTGTAAAATGCTCCTGTTTTACCTGAGCCTGGTATTTTAAATCTTTTCTTATTTTACCAGTTGTAAAATTCCACACTTCTATAAATCCATCAACGGAACCAGTTACGAGATACTGACCGTCGGGAGAGAATCGAGCACATTCTACGTGAGATTTCTGTCCAAATTTAATCTGTTTTGAAAGCTGAGTGGGATATTTCTCATCTTCCTGTTCTCTGATAGCTGCTTTACCACGAAACAAATCAATTGTTGTTCCTAAATACAGAGAAAATACTTATTAATATCAATACAGTTGAACTTCCTGTAATAAACTGCCTCCAGGAAACATAAGAACCTGTTATATAAAAATTCATTAAACAGAAAATGCACTAACAGTGAAAACACAATAATATAAATATAAAATTAAAGTGAAATTTGTATGTTCACACAAATTTGATTTTAATTTTATTTTTTATTCAACCTTTAGAAATAACTCTATTTTTTAACATTAAACAAAACACCATGTTGAAAGGACTGAATTGGATTGGATTAATGAGATAAGATAATGCAACAAATGGCTGATCTACTAAAGAAAACCTGCCTCCTGGTAGGACTTTCTATGGAAAGTGACCATTATTTAGGTGCTAGACATGCAAAGATAAGTCAAATTCTACATGACCAACCTGTCAGTTGGGCACAAACCAGAGAACAACTATCAGTGTTCAGTGGTTTTATTCACTCAGCCAATGGTGGCCCTGAATTGAAAAATAATTGAAAGAAAAGCTATCATAAACACAAACCATCGAATTTTTAATTAAATTTTTTTAAACTCTATTTTTTAAAAATAAGATTGCATGATGGACAAATAAAAAGCAACTCCATTAAGCTTAGTTAACAGAGACATTTTACAAAGATATTTGTAATACAGGAATTCATACAATGGAAATCTTACTGTAATAATAAATTTGTTAAATAAATTTAATATTTACAATCGATTATCATCTGATAGTTTACCTGGTGGCAGAAGACCTTGATGCTGCTGCCATTTAAGAGCTTGGCCGAGTAAAGCTAACAGACGAGAAGGAGGAACCACGCTAACTTCACCAGCTAATGCTTGAGCGATTGCACCTCTTCTCCTTTCCTTACTACTACCGTCAGGATAAGCCTACATGAAAAGTTAATGATATTTAAAATTATTAAAGTATATTTGTCATTTAACAATAAACTTAATTTTGCATTTGTAGTACTAATTTTTAAAGTAAGCCAAACAACCACCATATTACATTGGGCTACTTTTTCCTAGTAGTAAAGTTACCCAATGTAATCTGGTAGTTGTTTGGCTTATTACAAATATATCAGGTTTCGAGATGTTTGTATAATTTTTAAAACAAATTCAAATAGTATTTATTTATATTACCTCACGCGGATCAAAGTACGATCTCGCTAAAAGATTTTCTAAGTGAATATATCTTTCAGGTTCTTCTTGTTTCATTTTTATCATTGGATCGGTCTGTCTCAACAATGAACGAGCGGCACCCAATTCTCTCAATTCTATAAGTTCAAGAACCACCTAATTCATAAAAAAAATAAAGTTTTCTTTATTAATTAGGTTAATTAATTTAAAACAAAGGTATTTTTGTCAAATCACCTGTTCGTATAAGTCAATGAGTTTTTTATCGGGAAGTTTTAAAGATTGTACGACTTTTAACACCGTATCCCAATGCCCATTGTTAATGTCTTGTATAAAACTATCTACGCTGTCAACAGTATTGAGAGATATGGAAGTTTCTTCCTAGAAAACAAGAATTTGTAAAATAAAGAAGTAGTTACAGTGAAATAAGATTAACTTCTTTCCAAGCAAAGCTTACCTGTAACACTTGTAATGTTCGAAGCAAACTGTTTTCTTTTAGATACTGTTGAATTAATCTCACAACACTGGAAAACAAAAATGCTGTCATTTATTTATTTACTAAATTAGATTACTAAATTAGTATTTACTATTACTATTTACTAAATTAATTTTGCACATTAATAATAAAACGAAAACAAGGTTACAAGGAATAACTAATATTGTGAGAACCTGTAATTTTGACAATCTCAATTCCTGTTCAAAAATCAAGAAAATTATTTTATTTTGTTGATTTTCAATTTACTGTAGAGGTAGTTCATGAGATTATTTCACCAGTAAAACTTCCTTCATAGGCAATACATCTTCCAATAAAAACTACTCACCAAAGAAAATCTCATAAAATAATCAGAGATTGGACTAATTGCCAGCTCCCTGCATAAACTTACCAAATTTGAGCATCATATTAGCAGGGGGAAAGACCCCAAATAGAAAGCAAGGAGAAAGATCACAGGAAGAGTTTGTCTGCCTGTTCTTGAAGTGTGTGCATATCCCGCCATGTTCCACCAATGATCTTCTCAAACTCCCACTATTTTCCACCAGACCTTTGCCACTCCAACTAACTAACTATTAACTGGAAACTGTCATGAATTACCATTGTGGACTTTTGGAATTCAACACTCATCATGAACAAGCCTTCTTCTCTACAGGATGCCTAAACAATCACCAAATATTACAGATTCAGATATTTATTGACCCGCACACACACTCATATAGGCATGCATAAAGATTNCGAAAAAAACCTAGAAAAGTACACTTGGCCAGTCTGTTGGCCATGAGCAAACCCACGACAGACTGTTATACACGTTACGGAAATCCTTTGAGAATTAACCGTGATTTTTTTTCTATCTATCCACCTTTAAATAAAAATAATTCTTCGTACGTTGGGAAATATTTTAACAAGTTTTGTAAATTACTATGTTCGATCCAGCCAGTTATATCCGATTTTTTTTCGTCTGTTAAGTACATCCTTTGAGGATTTCCGTAACGTGTATAACGTGTATAAATTAAGTAGGTTTGGGCACAACCAACAAGCTGGTCACGCACAGTTTTCTTCACGTTAAATAAGGGCCAGCTTTACGTAAGATTTCCCAAGATTTAGTGGTTATACACTTGATAAGAACCAGCTTATGAAATGTATAACGACTACAGGTATTTATCCAGGCACGCACAAGTGTAAACTCTCTTTAGCGCGCTTTTAATATCATATGTACAAATAGTTATATAAATGAACGAGTGTTATTCTTTTGTAATTGAGTTGTAGTGTGCACTTCTTTTGGGTGCACTGTCTCTCGGACCGTTTCAATCCCTAATTCGACCGCCTACACACGCGACCGGTGGCGAAAAACGAACTTAAAAACCATCTATTATAGACAGAATTTCTTAAAGAAAATAACAAATGAAAAATATACATTTCGTAATTAAATATTTATAAAGTGAATTAGAAATAATGAATCTCTAAAAAAATGTNTGTAGAGGTAGTTCATGAGATTATTTCACCAGTAAAACTTCCTTCATAGGCAATACATCTTCCAATAAAAACTACTCACCAAAGAAAATCTCATAAAATAATCAGAGATTGGACTAATTGCCAGCTCCCTGCATAAACTTATCAAATTTGAGCATCATATTAGCAGGGGGAAAGACCCCAAATAGAAAGCAAGGAGAAAGATCACAGGAAGAGTTTGTCTGACTGTTCTTGAAGTGTGTGCATATCCCGCCATGTTCCACCAATGATCTTCTCAAACTCCCACTATTTTCCACCAGACCTTTGCCACTCCAACTAACTAACTATTAACTGGAAACTGTCATGAATTACCATTGTGGACTTTTGGAATTCAACATTCATCATGAACAAGCCTTCTTCTATACAGGATGCCTAAACAATCACCAAATATTACAGATTCAGATATTTATTGACCCGCACACACACTCATATAGGCATGCATAAAGATTTAAAAAACCCTATTCAAAAATAAATATTTGTTGATTTAGGATTAAATGCATAGTGAGTGCATATTTCTAGGACACTGTCTCTCAACTCTCCTTAGTCCCAAGCCCGTTTATTCCCTCATACACAACCATTCATGTGATAATTATTTGGAAGGTTCCTGTGCACTTAGAGTCACAAGTAGTATCAGTCCTGACTTGGGCATTGACAACTTAGTTATCACCTCGTCAATGTAATGGTCACAATATAATGCAACATATTAATATCTGCTTGTTTATAAGGAGATAGATAAAACACAATACTAGACTTATATACTGTAAAAATTAAATTTAACGAAGAAATTTCAATTTTTGTTCGTCAAGTAGGCCTAATAAAAGTGTTTGAAAAGCAAAGCAATTTTGTCTTCCACTCGAAAAGATTGGTTTTTCCAGAGGTGGTCAAGTTCAGAGGGAGGCACAATTACCAAATTAGTCAGGAGCCCAAACAAGGGCAGACTTGAATGAAAGCTACTGCCCAGCTCCAAATTAAAAAACCATTAAGCCTGGAGAATCCCTTAAAAAGAGGGACTGGGATGAGAAAGGAGAGCTTTGTCCAGATTGCCAAGGGAGAGCAGGAGGGAAAAAAGTACACAGAAAGCCTCATCTGGACTGCAAAGAGAAAGATAAGAAAGTTTGTTTAGACACAAATGAACTAATTCCCTGGTGCAATCTGTATATATGTGCGAAATAAAGGACTGACCATTAAAATTTGCGTGGTAATGTGCCTTTCTGATGAACCATAATACTCATTTGTATTGGAGAGAAGAAGGACCTCTGAATGAGACTTTCTGATAGGATATCTGAACTTTGTTGCAAATTATACACAAGTTTTGTTTTAAGCAACTTTTATTACAAAATCAGGAACAGTAATTTAAGATATAGATAGTATTAAATTAAGTATGAACCACTGTACTTCAGCTGAATTAATCAATGCATCTTTAACTGTGGGAAAAGTTTATAAATGCTAACATTTTCAACCTGGTTAAAGGTCATAGACATAGCAGAATGTGAAATGTCAATGGCATTCCACTTTCTACTGTCCATGCCTGTTAGTTTTACAAGATAACAGAAAAATGATCTTAAGTCATATTTACTTTCATTAACATAAGAAAACTAAATTTTTTACTTTAAATGCTTTTTTAACACTTTAGCGGCTTGGCTAAAATCCGTATGTGGCACATTTCGATGCTAGGCAGAATTGATCTGGGTTGTATCCTACTTTGTCTGTGATGACCACATTGACCGCGACCAAGTGTTCTGCGTCCTTTGTTCGTCGACAAAGATTTAACTGAGAAACTGATCCAGACAAATAATTTACTTTATTTGAATCAGGCATGCAATATTTACAATAGTGTTGAGATATAATACAAATCCAAGATTGTCACTGCTGTCAACTCCAAAAGGTTAACTAACACAAAGTGAAAAACTGTCACTCCTCTTCGGAGTACGGGCGCCAAGTGAGGTCAGAGGTTGAAGGTCAAGCGGTGGCACCCTCTGCCCTACAACACCATCATTTACAACAAATAGGAAGATAATCAGCAAATATAAACAACCACATCAAACCCAAAACAAAGCAATAACCCAAAATTTCTCCCTCTATGGCCAAATGTATTAGTAATATTATAGTTATTATTGCCAAATTATAGCCCAAGGATATACGTAAGTTGAAGGGAGATAATCAGCATTCAACAATTCACAACTTTATATTTATGCTTCCTTCCATAATAGAGATTGCTTACATAGTTTATATTTTTTCTTACATATTTTATTAATTTCATATTTTTCATATTTTAAGCATTTCATTAGTTATTCTCAAAAACATATATAATTTAAATCATTATAAACAGTAGTCACAGCCACCATCTTTAGGTTTTTCATCCTAAGTATCACTAAAAAGTTTGAATCATAAATACCAAACCTTTCATGTGCAAATATCTATTCCTCTCATTAGAGGATTCTGCGCAAGACATCATCCACAGCAAATGTACAATACATTCTTATTTGTATGGTTGCTGTATTGATATTGCTATCTTCTAATCACCCCAATCCTATTATTAGGCTGACCCCTCTCACAGCAAACAGTCCTGGCTAGATGACGAATGATATTTATTTTATTACACTAAAATCATTCATCATCCAACCAGGACTGTTTACTGTGAGAAAAATCAACCCAATAATAAGATTAAAGTGATTAGAAGATAGCAATACTGTACAATATATTATTCATTCTTCTATAAATGCTATATGGATGATGTCTTATGTAGAATCCTTTGTAACAACACAGATAAATAAGATTGAATAATTTACTTCCTTTCTAATTTGTCATCATCTGAAAGAAAAAATTTTTCAATAAAAACTATATTTTTTTTTCATTTCAGATATATGCAAATTGCTATTCTTTCCCTTTTTACATTTCTTTGATTTTTCCCTTTCTTTTTAGTAATACAATCGACCCCCCTATAACACTGTTGAATATTCCATTTTATATGAATTCCATGTTGTATGAGTCACTTAGATTTTACAAATACGTGTGCGGGCTGTGAATGGCTCACATATTTGTAAAATCTAAGTGACTCGTACAACATTGAATTCATATAAAACGAAATAATCAACAGTGTTATGAGGGGGGTCTACTCTGCATCAAAACAAATTTTAATGCTTTAATTTACTGAGAAAAAAATTATTTTATGAAACTTGTTCTATTATTTAGTGTATTTCTTCATAGCTTTTCATTTTAATGCTACATCACATATGTCATCTCAAAGGTATTTTAAATTTAAAGGTATTATATTAAAATGATTAAATGATTGTTGGAAAAACACATTTGAACTGATGTGACCATTGAATAGTAAAGCCGTAATCATCTGTTATCATATGGCATATAACATATCACTTGCCGTGAGTATTGCCTGTAACTTCAGAATCAAATTTAAGATAATATCGATCGTAAAATGCATCTCCACTTTAAATAAATTAAATTACTAAAAAATTGCATCTTAAAATTACAGTATTTTCCATTAATTATAACAACTGTTGTTTTCGGCTCTTCATACAGGCATGCATAAAGATTTAGAAACTCTACCTCTATTCAAAAATAAATATTTGTTGGTTTAGGATTAAGTGCATAGTACAGTGCATTATTTCCAGGGCACACTCTCTCTCAACTCTCTCCTCTGTTTAGATATGCAGTAAGGGTCACCCTTACTGTAGATCCAATATACTTACAAAATTTCTTTTAATAAACCTAATGCATACTACTTACAAATATAATATTTTTGTAATTTTTCTATTACATAGTGTGTACGCAGAGATTGTAAGTGTAACTTGCAACTTTGATTCACACAACCAAAAGCGAAAGGCGATTGTGAATTTTAAGCAGCAAATCATTTGACAGAAAGAGAAAACATTATCGCCAAAAACAAAACGGCTGCTTGTGATATTCTGTTGTTAATCACATTTGTTTATTTATTGACAAAAAAAAAAATACATAAAAAAAAACAATGCTAGGTGAGAGGACTATTAAAAAACTGTGAATTACAATATCTACTCTATTGCATGAGAAAGTTTCTGTAGCCATATTGAATACAACAAGAACTACATGACAAATAGTGGGAATATGACTAGTGGTGAAGTTTTTAACTAACAAAACAGCTTGACAATTCTGAACATCTAAGTGATTGGTGAAATGGTAAAATTTGCCAAAAATAACATCATGTCTGAAGAGTTAATCGCTCTGTTTTTCACTTTTGCCAGTAAATCGTGCTCAGTGTGAACTAAGCTTTAGTCAAACTACCAGTAAAGTAACAGTGATATTTACTAGAGAACGGTAATAACTATAGTATTTTAACTATATACAATATAAATAGATGACATGGCTCTTCAATAGGCATTCTAATAAAAGATCTATTTTAGATATGCAGTGCATGGCTTCTATCGTGACAAGGTTTAGCCACCTCTGAACTATAATGACATACTAAGCAAAATACAGTAGATCCCCCTATAAAACCGTTTCCTATAGTTATGATTCCTATAAAAATTGTAGCAGTATCCGTAAACAACGGTAAAAATAACTCCTATAATACGTAAAACATCATCGGGCAGCCGAACTACTTTCCCGCTGTCCGTAGCGCCACGCTACAGACGTTTAGGCGGATAAATTGAGTTTAGTATCGTCTGTTCATATAATTGTATATAAATTAGGTACTGTACATATAATTATATATTAACTTAATTTATTGTAACTTTATTATAATTAAATATATATTTTTCGCCATCTAGCGTCACGCTACGGCGAGTTAGGCGACCTATCGTCTGTCCAGTACTGTAATTTTATACATTTCTTGTGAAAGAAACATTTCTTATTTAACGGCCATAAAAATTATTTATATTAAGGATGTCTCCAAAGGTCAACGAAGTTTTCGCAGAAAAATAATATCAGAAATCGCAGCCGCGGTTTGGTGCGCTGTTCCGCGACGAAACCAAGCTTTAGCAACAGGCGTAGTCGAACGGTACACACTCGGTAAGCAATCCTACAATTTTTTGTTTATAACGTAGTTTATACGGATTATTTTCAAAAAAATATACGTATTTTGGAAATGTTGAGTCGAATTAGTCTAGAATCGATTAATTTTATGGAAGAAAACCTTTCAAACAGCCGTAGTCCGTAAACTATGATTCCTACAAAATTGATTCATAAAGAACGGAACATATCTACTGTATTCAAAATCATCATCATCATTTCCATTTTTTTACATTTGTGATATAGAAATTATCATCTGAATCTATAAGAAAAAGCATAATATAATGAAACTTCTTTCAAAAAGAATTTGTATATTATTATTTGAATATTTTATTTTCTCTATTTCTAGTCTCAGATTTCAAATATAATCAATCATTCTTATTTCTTCTGAAGGTAATTTATTAATTAATAATTAAATCTAACTTATTTCTTCTCTCATCTCTGTTTTTAATACACTTCTGAGATATAATGATTCATAATAAACAGTATGTTTAACAACTAACATTAAGTTTGTTTACAATTCCACTTTTATTAATTAAATTTTCTACATTATACAAGTTTGTGTGATGTACAAGTTTTATTTTGACGTAACAATGATTAGTCTGTAAACTGAAACACAACTGCTAACACAAACTAAAAAAAAATTATTATTATAATGTTCCAGCAAAAAATATCTAATTGAACCAAATGTTTTCAGCCATATTTACTGGCTGTTGTTCTTTTTATTATTTTATTGCTGGTAGTTTCTAAAACTTTTTCATTGGAATGTTTTGACATAGTAAGACAGATATGTAATCAATTGTACATTTTGGTACTCCTGTCAATATATCCCCAAACACATTCTTTCCTGTTTTTTCATTTTAACACTATACTTTTTACACACAAACAGGATTGATTACTGAAAGAATGCAATCGAAGTTATACAGAAACACACTTCAAAGAGCATTGTTGTCTTCATCACAGTATAACATTACTATTCAGTGTAATTCTGCAATTATTATGATACAAGAACTATCACGAATATATTAAAATTGCAGCTCCAAATAAGGCGCTTGGGACATTACAGGCATCGTCTAGAGCAGTGGTTCTCAACCTTTCTGAAGCTACAAAACTTCATTCATACACTTTTTATTACACAAAACATTAGTATTAATATATTCAAGAATTAATAAACAATTCCACATTTACTCTTCTCAGAAAACAGTGAAACAATAAACAAATAAGCTTTGATGTATTCAATAAAATAGAAAAACAAAGTTGTCTATAAATGTGGTACAGTAATAAGTCAGAGTACATTGGAATAAAGTGGCAGTAAAAACTTTAAAATCATCTTTTTCATGGAACATTTGAGGCAGGTTAAGAATGTGCAAATATTTATTATGACATCATCACGATGGGCTGCAATTTTTAATCATATTTCTAAATTGTTTAATTTAAAATATACTCTCTCAACCTCAAATTAGTAGTGGCTTGTCCTTTAATATCATACTTTTTCTTTAATGAAAAGAATCATGCCAGTTGTCTATCTAGTACCTTGTTTAAATTAAAAATATGTGACTTCTGCTGCAAACAGAAGTTCATATACTGTTAACTGATGCCTCCTATCATCAAGGTTACCATATCTTGTCACATCTTTCACCTATCTAACTCCATTCTCAAGATTAAGAAAAGACAGACGGACATATGGACAACAGCGAGAATTTATAGGTCTACAGTTTCTTCAAATTGCAGCCCAACAACTGGTCTAGAGCTTGATAGGAATATAAGACACCACCAAAGAAACCGACAGTCTACACGACTCTTTGCAAGTTATAGTATCTGCCGTCCAACGTGCTACTGCACAATGTGAACAAGGTTAAGCATTCGTGGCTTCCACTGTACAGAATCGATAAGTAATCCTACGAGATTTCGCTTATAGCTCTTGTTATACACATCGCCCCAAAAATTTCTATCTGTTTAGGACATGTCTACTAGAGAGATGTTTTAAGAGAGCAACATTAGAAAAAAATGGCCCATGTATGCAGGATGGACATTTACCGCAAAAATTTCTAACAATACCTTTCAAAACAACCATTTTCAACTTTACCAGAGACAGCCGAAAGCTCAGAAAACACGAGAAAAACCATTGCATCAACTACTTCTGTGACACAATCAGAATTGCACCACGTATTCCATTAAGCATTTTTAATAAGGAAAATTTCAGAGGATACATCTCGCAAAGGCTCACACATAGAAAATTGACTTTTACTTCTTCAGGCTCATTCTACAGCTCCAATTGCTTCATTCAGACCTACATTTTGTGCCTCTGCCACTTACCAATACAATTACCCAATGTAGTACTGCCATTCAGTGTAATTCTCTAATTAATTAAGTTATAAACACCACCATATAGAAGAATAATGTGAAATGTTTCTAAGAGTTTGCTTGATTATAACAATGAGACATTCAAGTGTGAACATGTACAGTTTTATGTAAAAGTATGGAAGCTTTCTTACACAAAGACAAATAGACAATCATCTTAAAATCATATGTGTCAATGTTAAATGTATTGAATAAAATACAACATTCTCTTATTCTATTTCTTTAAATAACTAACATTTCGAAAAATAAGCCTAATAATTAACAATATTCATTAAGAAATGTACGAAATAATCGTTACTTACTCCGCTGATTCAATTTCGATTGACATGTTTATATACCATAAAACCTCTCCACATACAAACAAGATGGCGGTTTCGTTAAGTGTTGCCAAATAGCGAGTTTATGTATTAAAATTGTTAAAAAAATTTTATAGAAAACTAAAATCTTATTAATAGTTATTTATATATTTTAAAAATCGATATATATTAATTTAGATGTTTTATGCGTAAGTCTTCCGAAGAAATTTTTCATTCTTTTTTTTTTTTTTTTAATTTTCTTTCTTATGAGTACATTTCTTTGCACCGAAAGTGCCGTTTATACAGAAACCTATTTATCTAGTGCTTTACTTTTATCAAACCCTTCTAAACACGGCATATCCAGAATTAGCCATCTTCAAAAATTTTTATTCCATTGGGATTTGTTCCCGGGTCTCTCAAAATGGAATACAGTACGGTGCGCCATCCGGCTTCGTCCTATCTGTATTAAAACATTGCCTTTTTTCCAAGCTAATTATGGGTTGGGATTGGCCTAAAGTAGTTTAGTGAGTACTGAGGAACAGTGGTGAATTAGATTTTATGATAATGATAAAATACAAGATCATAGTGTTGTAAAAAAAAAAAAAAAAAAAAAAAAAAAAAAAAAAAAAAAAAAAAAAGACAAATTAGCTCCTATACGCTGTTCTAGTGGAGAAAAACCACAAAAGAAAAAAAAAAACGATGCTTCATCTGCCCTATGAAAAAGTCTCGAATGCAAAAACATGTTAATTAATGATGAAGACGACGATGATGATATGAAATTCGTGTGTTGCGCTACATATTGTAATTATACGTTCTACTCTATACATCAGTGTTCTTCAACCTTCTTGAATACGCGACCCCTTTACAAGTTAAAAAATTCGGGCGACCCCCAGGGCCATATTTAAACTATATCAGTGATTTTAAAAACTACATATTTAATTTTGTCTTTAAATATCGATCGAAAAACCAATTGTACTGTAAAATAAACAGGCACAGACTTCTCACTGAAATTCTAGTTTTTTTTATTGTAGTGTAGGACCTACAAACACTTGTCTTTTTCTTTCACCAGCGACCCCCCGTTTAAGGCTTTGCGACCCACAGGTTGAAATACACTGCTATACATAACAGTATAATTCTGTTCACTTTACTAAATACATTAATGTACAATGTCTTGTTATTAACGTTTTAATTTTATTGAAAAAAGCTCAACAGTAATTAAATATTTCATTAAATTTTTACAATACTTATTCTTGCCTCAAACACCTTTATAATGAATTAATTGTTTTATTATTATTATTTTTATTTTGGTGTTGAATATTAAAATACTTAGAAAACAATCGATACTCACCGCCGGTTATTCAGATTAAGATACAGAACATGTTTTCGTGAAGATCTGTAAATCATAACTACTGAAAATGTAATAATACGAAAAAGGAAGCGCACCATCCACGTAAATAAATGAAACAATTTCATTGAATTCTAAACGGAAAATTCCATCTTCAATGTGAAAATTTTGGATTAATTAACCGATAGGAGAAGAAATAGCGCTAAACTCATATAACTCTACGTAGAGTTTAACCATAAAAAAGGCATGAAAAACTGCAGTGTGAGCATATTTCGGCGAGCAACAAACCGAAAGCAACACGAAAACCATCCCTTTTCTGGTGGTCCTTATCGGCAATGGCGGGTTAAGGGGTACGCCGAGTAATCCTGGGTGTAGGGCGGCACGCTTCCAAGAACGGCAACCCCATGGAAAAAAAGTATTTTCTGTTATTTCTCGGAACATTTTTTATGTTTCAATCTTCCGATACTGTGAGCATGTTTTTAATTTTTATCAATGCACTGTAATAATAAAAATTATGACAGAGACCATAATATCTTTATTACAAAAAATAAAACCTTTTACAAAAAGTATAACAATTTTTTTTTTGATTAAGAAATACGTTTACGCGCTTTTCTAATTGCAAATTCATCAATCAAATCGTCATAATTCATTTGTTGATATAATTTTGCTTCTATACATAACAAGGCGAAATGCGTAACAGATAAAAAGTTCACTTCTTAGTCGTAATATTTATAGAAATTAATCCTCAGAAAGATGCAAGTTGAGAGTAGATACAAGATCAGAATACTAGTTTTAAGGTCACTAATGTCGAGTGTTCAGCGACACTATGGATAGTGTGGGTCAAGTAAATAAAGGGAACATTAGCAACACTGTGTGGCAAATATGGGCTGCCAACACTTTCAAAGTTAATGCGCAAAACGTTTGTGAGGTTTAAAATTTTTGGGGCTATTGTCTCCTATAATGGGTCATATATTTATTACTAGCAGACCCTGCCACTCCTTGTTGTGGTTCAAAATGCATTTATTATAAATGTGTTATAACACTTCCCTCGTGGGGGGGGGGAATTTTTCGAAAAATTTCTTCTTAGTGTAAATTCTGTTGACGTACCCTATTAAAACGCAATCATAAACGCAAAAACCCGCATCTAAAATAGTATAATAGAAGCCAAGTTCTTCACAGTAAGCCTTAATCTTATCCCTCTCCCCCCCGGGGGGAATATCGAAAAATCCCTTCTTAGTGTACATTCTGTTGACGTACCCTATTAAAATGCAATCAAAAATGCAAAAAACCGCATCTAAAATAGTATAATAGAAGTGAAGTTCTTCACAGTAAGCCTTAATCTTGTCCCTCTCCCCCCGGGGGGAATATCGAAAAATCCCTTCTTAGTGTACATTCTGTTGACGTACCCTATTAAAATGCAATCAAAAATGCAAAAAACCGCATCTAAAATAGTATAAATAGAAGCAGAGTTCTTTACGGTAAGCGTTCCCCGTAAGGCTTACCGTAAAGAACTGTCCATCCCCCATGTTTAACGGAATAATATACAGCCTATGTCCACCCTGAAGTTCCACTCTAAATATTGGTGAAAAAATTTTTGAAATCGGATGAGTAGTTTTGGAGATTACCTGCTGCATCCAAACTTACATACATACAAACATTACCTCTTTATAATATTAGTATAGATAAACCAATCAGAAGTTATGTAGGTACACGCACTTTCACTTAGACCTAAATAAACTGATATTATAGACCCTAAAACTAGAAATGTATAAAAACTGTGACAACTAGTCTCGGTCTCTCCTAAAGTGTAATTTACTATGTCGAAAACACTCATTTTATATGCAAAATAGATTGCAACGAATTATGCAACAAATGATTTTGCCAAAACAGACTATGAAAAATTAATTTCTTTATGTAGTATTTTTAATAGTTATTAATTTGCTGTTACAAAAGATTTATCAAAATTACAATTATTTAATTAGTTTGAAAGTTGACTAATAAATTTCTTTATTAAGCCAATACATACTGTACATTATTAATAATAGTACATAAAGAATGGAGAGTTATAGCAAAGAATCGAGTTTCTGCATAGATGTTTATATGTAGACTACAGAAACAAACTAAAATATTAAAAACAGATTTTAAATTTATCATCGAAAATAGCATTAAGAAAAGTTAAAATCACTTTTTAAGCATCTTTTTACACAGAAAAACAAAAACCAAATTGTTGAAAAGTATTGATGAACCCAAAATGCACATATTTGTTTAATAAAGAACTCTCAGTCAACTTTCATATTAAATAACTGTGGTTTGATAAGTTCTTTGGAATAGGAAAATGAATATTTTTTCTACTTTTATTATTTAAGAATTAACATGTTCAGATTACAGTAATAAGTATTAAATCCCTATCGACCCATACCTTATACCCAGTTAGATAAGAACCGATGGTATGAAGAAAAGAAACGAATGGATACATGTATATAATGAGAGAGGATACAGCATAAACGAAATAATAAATAAACAAAAAACAATAATGACAATACATAATAGCCACGAAGCGCTAGAGTATTTTAAGTAGGAATAGAACATTGAATACGATGAGACGAGCAATATTTAGAGATCGGAGTGCCGTAGCTAACTTTGTTAAGAAGCGGAATATCGCTCGTAATTTATCTAAGGCGAAAAGAAAAATTATTCCTGCACAGATTGAATAAAGACTTGGCTTCTGCAGATCGTATGCGAGCTATAAAGCAGACCGTATGCAGACCGTACGCGAGCTAGGAAGTGCGTTAATTTTTCTCTTAGGCAGTGGCGTACCGTGGGTGTCAACCGCCCGGAGCGGAGGAAAATTTCGCCCCCCTTATTTAGGTATTTCAATTTAAAAGACCAAAATTCAGTTTCGTCACAGAACAAGCAATGAAAAATTCGGTGGTAGTGCAGCGACCTGTTTATAATACAGTAGAGCGTCGTTTATCCGAATCAATTGGGGACTGGGGTTGTTCGGAAAAACAATGTTTCGGATAACCGATTATGTACGAAAAAACACATTAACATATGCCATGTTGAAATTTTTCTCCGTTGCGTGTCGCTTTGCGTTGAATTTTCGTCGATGTTAAGCCTAATGTAAACTTTTCAAAATAATAATCGTGGCTATTGCATCGTTAAAAATTATTTCTTTATTTTTTTACAAACAAAACAAATATATTGAAAAATATAAAAACAAAAAAATTATATATTAGAAGTTAATCTAGTATCAAAAACGTTCGATCTAGCAGGACACACATTCCTCAGAAAAACACCACACAAAAGTGCCAGTGCTGCCAGCTAAAAAACACACATTAACAAAAAAATATTGGAGTAGCCCAAGATATAGCCAAAGATTGCAGCGCCACAGCACTAGAGAAAATTTAAATTTTCCGACTGGAATCCTTTCAGATAACCGACTTTCGGATAAACGACGCTCTACTGTAGTTCTATTGTATATTAGTGGTGTATATGAAGACGAATGAATCGTACAAGCAAATAAAAACAAAAAAGGTCAACAGGTTTCGCAGGAACTCCTCGGATGAAAAAGTTACTAGTTCACCCGGTGAGCCGATTCCGGGACTGTCCGGACGATAGCACTATCGTAGGCGCGATGCAAGTATAGATTAGGATGTTTCAAAATTTTACAAGATATTATTATTATTTATTGTGAAATTTTGCCGCCCCTATAAGTAATTTTGCCGCGCCCTAAAAAG